ATTTGTGGTCCAAAGCCTTTTACATCCATATGGACTACAAATCGTTGAAGCATTTGAAGGGCCAAGACAAGCTGAATCGTAGGCATGCCCGTTGGGTGGAGTTCATTGAGATGTTTCCATTTGTGATTCAATACAAACAAGTTATAGACAATGTGGTAGTTGATGCTTTGTCACGTAGGTATGTTCTTATTTTGTACTCTTAGTGCTAAATTCCTATGATTGGAGCATATTAAAGAGATTTATGAGAATGATTTAGATTTTGGTAGTGTTTTTGCTACTTGTGCAAGGGGTATGTTTGAAATTTTTATTTGCATGATGGTTTCTTGTTTCAGGAAAACAAAATTTGCATTCCAAAATGTTCTTTACGTGAATTACTTGTGCGTGAATCACATGGAGGAGGCTTAATGGAGAATTTTGAAATCTCTAAAACTTCAAATATTTTAAAAGAACATTTCTTTTGGCCTCACATGAAACGAGATGTTGGGAAAATCTGTTCTAGATGCATAACATGTATGAAAGCAAAATCTAAGGTTAAACCACATGGATTATATATGCCTTTACCTGTTCTTATATTTCCTTGGATTGATGTGTCTACGGATATTGTATTGGGATTGCCTAGAACTAGTAATGGTCGGGATGCTATATTTGTTTTATTTGATAGATTTTCTAAAATGGGACAATTCATTCCTTGTCACAAAACTGAGTACGCTACTCATGTGATGGAGTCCCTAGAACCATTGTTAAGTGATCGAGATGTTAAATTTCTTATTCATTTTTCGCGTGTTTTATGGGGTAAGTTGGGAACAACTTTGTCATTTCTACTACTTGTTGTCCCCAAACAAATGGTCAAATCGAGGTACTAAATAGGACTTTAGGAGCCGTGTTACGAGCTGTTCTTAAAAAGAATCAAAAGTCTTGGGAAGCTTGCATTCCTTTCACTGAATTTACATACAATAGGTACACGTAATCTTCTATAAAATTTTCACTTTTGAAATTTGTTTGTAGTTGTAATCCACTAACTCCATTAGATTTGTTGCCTCTACCTGTTAATGAGATTGCTAGCCTTGATGGAAAGCATATTGCCAAGTTAGTAAAGAAAATTGCACAAGAATGAACAAGTTGCTAAACGAGTCAAGAAAGGGAAAAAAAAAAAAAAAAAACAAGTCACATTTCGACCTGGTGATTGGGTTTGGTTCATTTGCGCAAAGAGAGATTTCCTTCTAAGCTGAAACCACGTGGGGATGGACCATTCCAAATTTTGGAGAAAATCAATGATAATGCATACAAGATTGATGTAGGTATAGATTCGAGGACGAATCCTTTTGACAAGGGAGATAATGATATGGGATAGTTGGAAGGAATGGAACACAAAGAAGACGAAATGCACAAGCTTGAGAAAGGAACTCGGGATGAGCTTGGGGAGGATGCATGAGGCATGGATGAGCTCGTAGAGGATGCATGAGGCGTGGATTTTCAAATATCGACTGGTCCTATAACAAGAGCTCGGTCCAAGAAGCCTTACAAGACTTGGTAGGATATGCACTTGATGAAGAGACCAAGTCCAAGGCTAACTCCAACGATTCGGGCTTACAAGAGCAGACAAAGATCACCAATCTTATTCAAGTCCAATCCAGTAACGGCCGAATTACATTGGGTCAAGTCATTTAGTTATTTTCTTTCTTAGTAAGTAATTTGGACCTTAGTTATTTGGTTTTGGACCTAGTCTCTTATAATATTATGTTAGGCCTTTGTTTTAATTAGTTTAATTGTTTTGGGCCTATTTTGACCCAACTCATGTAGGTAAAATCCTAAAATTAAGGTTTTCTATTAGGTTTCCAAGCCAACTTAACATTATAAATAGGCTTTGAAACTCTTATTGTAAGGACGGTTTTGATGATATATAATTGAGAGGATTTTTTTCTCCTACTTTGTTCTTCAGCAACATTTCGAGAATTCAAGGTCCTATCTTGTGATTTACAAACCTTTATAATATTGGTTTCGAGTTCTTTGTAGCCACAAGGTCAATATTATTTCTTTACCTTTGAATTCCTTATTTTTGTGGATGATCCTAGTTTGTACTCCAAGGTTTTGTTGTCGGGTCTCGCAATGTTGTTTGTTGAGAATTGAACTATCAACCCCTCAGCACCTGTCATAGGTGCCCGTCAAAGGCCCCTATTTGAGCAGAATAATTTTTTTCAAAATGTATACATGTGAAAAGGGACATTTATCTAATTTTTTTTTTAAATAATGCTTTAGCACCATTAGTTTTACAATGCTAATTTAAGTGTTACTAGATATCATTAAATGAAAGGTACAATTAAATAATTTTACATTTAATTGAATTTATCACATAATACCATATAGACCAATGAGTGCAGCGCAAGTGTTAGATAACATTATTCTTGTTTTATATGCTCTAATCGTAAGGCATATTCACATTAAGCAAGAAGAACACACACAAAGTTGTAAGACAATTAAAGGTACCAGAAGCAATAAAATAGGAAGAGAAAAAACAAGTCCATAACCCACTCTTTCAACATTTTCTACGAATCCATAATATAGGGCGTAACCTATTTCAAAATAAGAAATTGAAAACATTCCCAATGAAAAAAGAAAAGAAAAATGTCATACAAAAATTAAAATGATGTAGACAAAATACTACTACAATGACAAACAGACACTGACATCCTAATGACCAAGGCTATAAAATGTTCTTCCGTTAAGAGAAATGGTTTTCTTGTATTTCCCTTCTCAATTCCTTCTAACATAGTTTTCCGTCCCATGTTGGATGTATTAAATAATCAATTACATGAGATCTTAGTCCTTATATTGAGGCTATATTGTTTTATCCACTTGCAATAATCATGCATTCATGAGTCATCCATCTTTTATGGGTTTTGATCAACATACAAAGAAAGAGTAAAAAGGGACCTATCATCTCCTTTCTCAACTATGACACTTATAACATTGTTCTACAGTAAATCTTTATCAGAATCTGGCACCTCGTCATTTGACTGGAACTATATCCATCTTCCAGTGACAACACCCTATGTAACGACCCAAACTTTAAAGATTTAAATCGTTAATAAAAGTTTCTTTCCCCTAGTTAAATAAATTTATCAAACATCCCAACATAAGATTTTTTGTTCCATCAATAAAATAAATAAAACGTATGGGAAACATAATTAATTGTAAAATGTCCCAAATCCTAAATAACAAATTTCACATGGAAATAAAAATTAAATAACACTAAAAAAATAAAGATCCTTAGTCAAGTTACTCTGGAATATTTTTATTGAATTTCATAATTTCTGGCATCACGACTGCACCTCATCCCCTGGCAACCAACGACCTATTCTAATCTGTGAGTAGGGAAAATGTTGAGTACATGAGAATAAGGGAAAATGTTGAGTACATGAGAATACTTAGTAAGACATATTGTACCGTCATCATATCTTTAGAAATTGGTAAGAGCTCAATAAACATCATATCTTTGGTACTAGATGGCCATAACATGCATATCATATCATATTTTTAAACATTCATCAGTACAATAGTTCAACAACATGAAATTAACAATTAAAATGGGATAAAAGCAATAGCACCTCATTATCCTACCTGTTTAGATCAATTAAATTTGAAGGCAAAAATCGAATTCATGTTCCAAATCTCTATTTCTACCTATCTGTCGTGTGTGTATCTTTATATTTTCTTGTGCATATAATAAGCCCCTGTTTGAGCCCCATTAATTTTCATTTCGTTACATTTTATTTCTCTCTCTCCTATTTTCAACCACACAATCTTCCATAAAATAATATTACACGTAAATCGAAAACTTTTTATTCTTTTTCAACCACTCATTTTTTAAAAAAACACTATTCCACTCATTAATTTTTCCACGTAATGGGGGCCAAATAGGGGCTAAACCTCTTGCATGATATTTAAGTTGAAAGGGACAATAAAATTTTGATAGATTTAAAAATGTGCAATGTGAAGTGTTTAGTAGTACCAAAAAGTACTACAATCATTATCCTAAATAAAAATAATATTTTGTCCTCAACAAACCAACAAATGGCAACCAATCATATCAACTCTTAAAAAAACAAACTACTACTCAAAACCACCCTTTTTTATCCATTTGAATCACACATGGCCTCACTACCAATTTATTATAATATATGTATATTTTTTATTTATTTACTTACATAACAAATAATAACAACTTCTATAAACTATAATATCTTGGGTCTAAGTTATCCAATTTAACTTTTTCTCGAGCCTAATATACATGATTAATTACGAGCTATCCACCGAGCCCCACATTGATATATACTTATCATCGCCCCATCAAAACCTAAATATTTGGCCTAAATAAAATTGTATTAATAGATATATGAATCTAGTCCCCCAACTTTCCAAATTTAAAATATAGTATATAAAAGTATGAGAAAATTTTTTGGACTTTACAATCTCCCCTCAAATATTTACAATCTTCCCTCAAATATTTTGGATACTTGGTTTCTAAGCTCAATTTCCTTCTCCCAATTTGACTCGTCTCATCCATGATTTCACCATTGCACTTTGACTAGGGAAATTTCGTTGTTTTTTGAGTTGATGCGCTTTTCTATCAAAAATCATCGTCAAAATTTCCATATATGACAGGTTTTTCTGTACCTCCAAAGTTTGGTAACATACCACATGAGTGGGATCATGACATATTTTCTAAGTATCGAAACATGGAACAAATTATGCACTGCTGCCAGATCAGGTGGTAAGGCAGTCGGTAAGCTACCAATCATTTCAAAAATTTTAAAAGGCCCAATGAACCATGGCCTTAACTTCCCTTTCTTTCTAAATCTCAACTCACCATTCATTGATGCTACTTTCAAAACACTTTATCACGCACTTAAAATTCTAAATCCTTTCTTCTACGGTCAATGTAACTTTCTGTCAGTCTTGTTCTGCCTCTATTCTTGCTCTAATCATATCAACCGCCTCAACTATTCATTCAATGATTTTAGCACCCAAAATTCTGTTCTTTTCGACCACCCAGTGAATAGGAGATCTGCATTTCCTACCATAAGAGCTTCTTCATATGGGGCCATGCCTATAGTAGCCTGAAAACTATTGTTGTAAGCAAACTCCACTAACAGCAGATATGTCTTCCAACTACCGCAAGATCTAAAACACATGTTCTCAACATATCTTCAAGAGTTTGAATGATTCTTTCTAGTTATCCATCCTTTTGTGGATGATAAGTAGTATTAAATTTCAGTTCGTCCTATGGCTACTTGTAAACTATTCCGAAATTTTGATGTGAACCTCCGGTCTCTATTTTAAACAATGGTGATAGGAGCTCCATATGATTTGACCATCTCCTTGATGTATAATTGCGTAAGCTGTTCCATATTGAAATTCAATTTGATTGGTAGAAAATGGGCTGACTTTGTCAAATGATCAACCGCTACCCAAATAGCATTGTAACCTCTTGCTGATCTCGAAAAGTCAACCACAATGGTATCAGCAGCCCTGATGGCCTTTAATGTTCTGCCTTTAAGTCAACCATATATTTCTCCACGAATAGACTAATTCCTCTTCTCATATTTCTCCACCAAAATGTAAAATATATCTCGAAGATCTCAGTACATTTTTGTACTGCCTAGATGTACAACATACGGGTTGAAGTGGCCCTCTTTTAATATCACATTTCTTATACCCTCATCCTTAGGTATACAAAATCTTCCTTTAAAGGTTAGTGCTTTATCTAAAGATATTTCAAATCCTATATGTTTGTTTGTACCAATCTCAGCCTTCATCTTCTGCAGAAATAGATCTTGTACTTCCTTATCTTGAAAAGTAGGTTGAATCATAAACGCTTTGATTCTTGCTATAGTCTAGGTCGGGGACTTGATGACCTCTAATCTCAGTTTCTCAAAGTCCTTTATCAAGTGTTTCTACACTGGGAGTAAAACTGCTAACTACAATCTAATCTTCTTGCTTAAGGCAGTTGCAACTATGTTAGCCTTACCTGAACAGTAAAGGATGGTACAGTCATAATCTTTTACTAACTCCAACCATGTCCTCTATATCATATTCAATTCCTTCTGCGTGAAAAAGTATTTGAGATTTTTGTGGTCTGTAAAGATTTTACACTTTCCACCATAGAAATAATGACGCCATATTTTTAAAGCGTGAACTACCATTGGAAACTCAAGTCATGCGTTCGATGGTTCTGTTCATACTGTTTCAATTATCTCATGGCATAATCAACCACTTTTTCATGTTGAATCAAAACATAGCCCAAACCCTATTTGGAAGCATCGCTATAAATTACCAATCCTTCTGAACCCTCAGGTATCGCCACTTTAGGAGCTTAGACTAATCTTTGCTTGAGTTCCTGAAATCATTTTTCACACTTTTCCGTCAACTAAAACTTCACACCCTTCTTAGACAATTGAGTCATCAGCCCCATTATTTTTGTGAACCCCCAATAAATCTCCTACAATAGCCAGCCAACCCCCAAAAAAATGCGAAGTTCAACCACACTAATAGATCTATTCCATTTTTTACTGCTTCTACTTTAACTAGGTCTACCTTAATACACTGAGTGGTAACCACATGAGTAAGAAAACAACTTGATCGAGCCAAAATTCGTACTTCTTAAATTTGGCATATAGTTTCTCTTTCCTCAAAGTTTCGAGAACTACTTGGAGTTGTTCATCATGCTACTTCTTATCTTTGGAATACATAAGTATATCATCAATGAACACTATGACGAACTAATCTAAGTACTGATGGAACACTTGGTTCATTAGGTCTATAAACACAGCTGGAGCATTGATCAACCCAAAAGGCATGACGATGAATTCATAATGTCCATAACGAGTCCTGAAAGCAGCTTTCGGTATATGGGTTGCCCAAGCCTTCAGCCGATGATATCCCGACCTCAAGTTGATCTTTGAAAATGCCGTTGCACCTTTTAGTTGGTCAAATAAATCTTCTATTCTTGGTAGAGGATACCTACTTTTGATATTCAGATAATACGCACCCTCATACTTCTGTCCTTCTCTTTCACAAAAGTACTGGAGTGCCCTAAGAAGATATACTCCTTCGAATGAAACTTTTTTCAGTAACTTTTCCAACTGTAACTTCTATTCTTAAAGTACTTTTGGTGTCATTCTGTATGGAGCCTTAGAAACTGGTGTTGCTCTGCGAACCAAATCAATTGTAAACTTCACTTTTTTATCTTGTGGAATGCCTTGTATTTTTGAGAATATGTATGCAAAGTCTCATTCGGTGTTAATATAATTAACAGTTGTCTCTGTATATTTAGAACTGATAATATTAACTAAGAATCCGTGGCATGATTCATTTCTTTGTAAGTTCTCTGCTTGTAAAGCTGATACAATGCGAGTTAGGAACTTGAACTTTGTTCCAAAGAAACGAAACTCTTCCTCTCTTGGTCTATGAAATAATATTTCTTTCTCATGACATCGAATAGTTGCATGATTGTCTCCTAGTCAGTCCATACCCAGAACAACATTGAAATCTTTCATTTGTAAAAGGTATAAGTCTACCAGCATTATCCTTCCATCAATCTCCAATTTCATAGTCTAGTCATGTGATTTGTGCTAGGAGTTCTTCCTGAAGAGATGCTAACCTTTAATGCATTATCCATTTTCACACATGCAATGTTAGACTTAGAAGCGAAGGATGTAGAGATAAAAGAATTGATAGCCCTAGAGTCAAAAAGTACATAAGCAAGTATCTCAGATAATAATAAAATACCTTTTTTCGTAACTATAGTAACGCCTAGTGACTTAGGATGCAAAATAAAATAAGAAAAATATACACAAGTAATTCAAATAGTAATAAATTTACCTACTATAACATTCGGATCCTACTCTTGGGTCTTCCCTTTCTTGTTTTTGTCCTAATCATCATACTTATTCTTTGGAGGATCTATACATTTGGGAGTAATGTGTCCCGGCTTACCACAACAAAAGCACATCTTAAAGATAGGCAAATTTAAAATATTTAAGTTTTGCGGAAAAAAAAAAATCTAAGTACCTTCATCTTCTTACCCCTTTACATACCTTAGAGTCGGTTGGTAGTTGTTGAGTGCCAAAAATCTCTTAAATTCTTAAATATTTAAAAATTTAAATATATACATTACATCGTATCTTTAAATTTAAAAAATTAATAAAAACATTTTTTTTAAAAAAATGCCACATAAACTTAGACTAAATACGTAACATTTATAGCTTATTATGCGTAACATTTATGATTATTATTCTATTTTTATTTATTTATTTATTATTATTATTATTGTTATTATTATTATTATTATTATTATTATTATTATTATTATTATTATTATTATTATTATTATTATT